GGTTGGTGCTATTTGATTATATAGTCCATCAAATGTATCATCATGACAGTTTGAGATTTGTAATAGCATAGTATCCTTATTCGGATATCAATTTTTGTATTCCTAAACTTATTCGAAATGAGATTAGTGAGGTGTCTTTAAAAAGTATGATACTATGATGTTCTAAAAATACCCAAATGTAAAAAGAAAAGATGAAGACAAAAAACACTGCCACTTCAAACTGATACAGACGCAAATTGGTGCAAGTTGCATTAGCTAGAGCAAGCCATGGAATAAAAACAACCCACAGACCTCACATTTCCAGCTTTAAAGTTAGGGAATAGGGTAAAGAGGCCTAAGTAACTTCTCAATCAAACCCATTTCATAAAAGCTTAAACCAAGACAGCTGGCACAGGATAGGATATGATTGTCTCAAAGCTATGCAAATTCTTATCTAATAGAACCCAAAAAGTTAAAACATGCTTGTGAAAAAAACTAACAGCAATAACAATAACAAGATGGAAAAACATTGATTCGGGCAGTAGTTCATTTAGCCAAGATTCAGCCCTCAAAACTAGAAATGCATAGATAACAACTGTATGGATATGGATATGTGACCATTAATGGATATAATCTGGATATGTGACCATTAATGCATAGAAAACGCATAACAAATAGTCAGCTCCCTCATTGCTCCTGTTATTTTTCTTCGAAAGGTATAATCTGCCAATTTTTACTTTCTAGATGTGTGCACTTGCAATTTTTACTAGTCAATTTATGTTTCTGTATTGCTGGTGAACAATTTTTACTTTCTTATGGCTCCATTTTCTAACCAAAGTTCTTGTCTTCTTGGTTCATGTAAAACCACCCCTATTTTTGTATGGGACTGAAGCATTAGCAATTTGAATGCAATTCTAACAGCATAAGAAAATAAACGCAGAAAAAATATATATATTAAATATCTAATTATTGTATTGCTAGCAACTTTAGTTTAAAAGGAGCAAGAATAACAAAAAGCATGTTCAACCATTTTCAAATCTTTGTGGGAAGAGGCATTTTACAGCTATAAGGTAGTGCATAAACAAAAGGATGTATGAGAAAAGGGAGGGAAGTGGAGGGGAATAATATAAAAAGAAAGTAAGAAGTCTTTTATTGGTATAGGGCATCACCACTAAGGCTGACTGTATAGAACATTTTGAAATCCATAGTCATGAGGAAAGGAAAGCAAAGTGACATCCTAGATGTAGGGATTCTTATCAGTTGTGATTCACGCACTTTGGATTGACATGACCTTGATTGCCTGAAACTATAGTATAGTGATGTGTAGTTGCTGCATATTTTTTTTTCAGGGAGTATTTTTGACGTATAAAAAATGTGACAGTTTAAAATAAGGAGCTTCACCAAAACCTGGTGTTGCATTATTACAAACATATATGGTATTAAGCATTCATTTCATTTCCAATAACTTGAAATCACAATGAAACAAAAATTTGCAGTCAACTGAAACAGTGGTAGTCTTTATGTTTTACCTGTAAAGGACTAAGTGATGGTACAAGAAGCTTCTTGGTTTGTCCATTTTGAGTGGCAGAAGGAAAGGGCAAAAGTCGTCCAATAAGCGTTCCAGATCCAACTACAAGATTTGCTATTAAAATCAAATGAAATTGTCAATCAACACATTTGTAGGTCTTCAAACACCCCACACCACCTAAAGGTTATCTGAGACCTATAAGAATTTGTCAATCAACTCATGTCATATATGAAGATTCTTCCTATGTAGTTATCTAACAGAAAAGGATATGAAATATGTAGTTATCTAACGGAAAAGAATTTGTCATATATAACTACATATGACATGTCCTATATAAATATTCTTCCAATAAATACATACACATCTATATGAATAAGAGTTTAAAAACAAAAGGAATTAAAACTTCGAGTATGATTTGGTTGGTTGAAATACACATATCTATATGAACAAGAGTTTTTTTTTTTTTTTTTTTTTTAAAAAAAAAAAAAAAAAAAAAAAAAAAAAAAAAAAAAAAAAAAAAAAAAAAAAAAAAAAAAAAAAACAAGTATGATTTGGATGGTTGAAATCCACATACCCATTATCAAAATATGAAAAGGGCAAAATAGATTTTCTCCCAGATACAGTTATCAAAAGTACATGAAATGACGAATGACTTAATTCTACGCCTTAATTGTTGAGGATGCAACCATACCCAAACTACTTGAAAAATGAATAGCACACTATATATATATATATTTTTCATTTCATTTAATGGCACTATAAATATCACTCCACACTAAAGACAATTATTAATCCCCCTTCAATTCAATGTCTTTGCATGTCATATAAAAATATAGTTTAGCAACAGAGTTGCATGGTAATGATCCTCGAACCAGATAATATAAAATAAAAGGGAAGCTGATTAGCTGATAAAATTTATGATCTATTTATATGCTATTGTGTAATTCCAGGAGAGTTCAACTAATTGATCTAGCCTCCTTTTCAATGGATAGGGTAAAAAAACATTAATGTGTTAGCTGAGAAACTATAAGACAATCACATACCTAACCATTGTGCCCACTGTGCAATTAACTGGGAAAACATAAAGTGCATCAATATGAATTTCCTTAACGAGTTACCTTAATGAGTTACCTTAACAAACGAATTTCCTTCACAAGTATTTTTCCCATCGACATCCCCATGGTGGAGTCTTCTCCTCAAAGCTCGTGATGTCATGAGTTAAGATTGTTATATAAGCCTGTTTAATTAGTGAATCATCCATAAAGTGCATCAATATGAATTTCCTTAACGAGTTACCTTAATGAGTTACCTTAACAAACGAATTTCCTTCACAAGTATTTTTCCCATCGACATCCCCATGGTGGAGTCTTCTCCTCAAAGCTCGTGATGTCATGAGTTAAGATTGTTATATAAGCCTGTTTAATTAATGAATCATCCATAAAGTGCATCAATATGAGGAGCCAACAACACTGTTAACTACACTAAAGAACAAGGTAAAAAAATTCATCTCTATGCACCTACACAACATATAAAAAGAAATCGCAGTTGGCTAATGACCGAATTGTGAGCACTAAGCACCTTCCCACTAATTCTACTTTCTAGATGTATAATCTGCCAAGGCTAGGCTCTATCATGAATTTGTCCATTAAATACAAAAACAACACTCTACCTGCTGTTTCTAAACAATTTACCAAGTGAAAAAAGTTGTTCACCAGCAACAATAATAAAATAAAACAACATAAACAATTGATAAATCAAGAATTTCCCAAGAACCTTAAGACAATATAACCCTCTGTTTGATTGCTGAGGAAAAACAAAAAAACAAAATGAAAATTTGAGGAAAAACAAAACAAAATGAAAATAAGTCATGTCGTAACCTTAGCCTCGTACAGCAGCAATTGGGCGGTGGTCAGCCTCCCGGAACAGTCGCCGCTGCCGCTGATGAGGTTTTGGGTGTTTTGAAGAACAATAACCCCAACAAGAGGGAGGAGATTGAGAAATTGTTGAACCCTATGTCGAATCATGATTTCGATCAGATGGTTTCCTTTGGGAACCTAATCACTGATTTCCAAGAAGAAGAAGACAATGTTATGATTGATGATAATGTGGGTTTTACTGTTGTGTTTGACGAGGAAGAAGAACAGAAAAATCTACAGTCAAATCTGTGAGTTGATACATCAAAGTAGCACGTTAAGAAGGGTTTATCCATCAATCAATGGATTAAGAGAGCATCCATCACCCTCCCAGCAAATTAAGAATCCTGGGATGAGATTGCAGATAACTAAGTATTGCTAGCTGACTGTTCAATGTGAGGTGTATAAATTTGAACAGGAAGATGTTTCAAGTAATAATAAAAAAGGGGTGGTTTAAAAAATAAAAAAGACAATCTAATTTTGGCCAGTTAATCGATGATGTTAGGAGGGGTGAACCAAATACAAACGTAACCTTTGGCATTATTTGCATACAATGGCTACTCTCATACAAACTTGTATTCCCATGATTGCCAGGCCAGGGATTTCACCATTGAACCAAGGAACACTGCTTTAATGGTTCGAAAAGTACAAAACTTTGAAAGTAAAAGAAAGGGGGAAAATTTAAGAGAAAGCGGCACAAAGAGATAATTAAATCCATGCACATACAAAGAAAAGTAATGGCCACAATATGGAGCCTTTGTTAACATAACAAACCATACTAAAATATCTAATCATGGAAGTATGAAACACTTGCTGCAACTTGTGGCACTGCATCTCATAACTATAATATCTATCACTCAAAACAACTATAAATAAATATTATAAAATGGGTCCATTCACATGGTTTTCTTTGTTGCAAACTTGCAATACTAACAATTCAAGCTCAAAGCTGCATATGTTTCCAATTTTGAGTGATCATACACATAACAAAAATTTCTACTCCATCCAGTATGTCACATGAAGATGTAAGGGCAATAATCTCATTGATTTTTTTTTTTGCAACCATTGCAATTTTTAGTTCCCACAACCTTCTTTGTGAAATCCTAACACCGCCACCACCCCAGGCTTACCTATCACTATATCAGCATCACAGATGCCACTGTAAAAACAAATAAACCACCCATTCACCAAACCCAATATCCATTCTTCTCCACCGATCACTCATGCCTCAATAATAAAAGGCCTATCATGGTTTTAATAAATAGAACAATAATCCATAAGGAGAGATATAGAGAGAGGGAAAAGAGGGTTTGTATATGTACATGTGTGGTGGTCACAACGGTGGGAGGCTAGAGCTTGCAGTGTATAAAATCCAATTCACACATCAACCGTGGCTTGCGGTGGTGGTGCACCGCATCCAATTTTCGCCAACTATAGGAAGTGGTAGTGGTGGGTTATTGATAGCAGTTGTAAACGTCCCCGAACGTCACGGGAGGAGATCCCCCCGTTTTGTTAAATGACGGTTGCTACAACAACCAACCAATGTAAAATTTTCCACCTTACCATGAAACATTGAGCCCCAAATGGAAAACCAAATCAAAGCATGAATTTGTTGCAGACGGACACAGAAAAGATTCTGCAGCAAAGGAGAATCTAAAAGCCTAATTTCGCCGAAAAAAGTGAAGTGAGATCAACTTACTGGCACAACCCAGCTGGTGTTTGCATTCCCAAATGAAACCGAAGCTAAGGACTTTGAAGCCCATGCCTTAGCATTCGTCGCTTCCTCTTGCAAATTACTTCTCTTGCAGGGCTCCTTTAGGGAATTGAATAACTGGATTGCTCGATTCAGATAGGCCGGAGGATGTTCCCACAAGCTCTTTAACTTCATATTCGGGATGTACAGTCTCCAAACCAATCGAGTACATGCAGACAGAGTTGGTAAAAGGAAATAGAGCAACCTCAAAAGCACGAATGCAGTGGCCAAGGCCAAATATGTCTCCTGCTGAAGCAAATTCTCTGGAGATCTAGCCCATGAGAATGGGCAACTTTCTTGCTCGGGGTGGTTGTTTTTTCCATCATCAGATGACTGTCCAATTCTTTCCAAGTATGTTCCATTCAATGGCTCAGTCTTAAGGCCTAAAAAAGTGACCTTGTTTTCATTAGATATCGCTTGAGAAATTTCTTCAGTAATTTGATACAAATAATGCAAAGAACAAAATACTACAAGTTCTTATGGATAAATGAAATCAACATCTTCAGGAAAAAAATGTAAGATCTTCAAGTGAGTTTCCTTTAAACAATGACTAGAAAAGTTCCAGGGTAAGGCCTTACCAGTAACATCATCGTAGAAAGAAACAAGAGAACCAAGGGTTCGAGAACCATGATAGCATACACGCATGGTAGAATTTAGAAGGAAAAGACTAGGAAACCCATGGTATTATTGCAGAGCCATAATCAGTAGAATCAAATTTGGGCCTTTTTTTACGAGCCCAAGACGAAGAAAACTAGGGTTCCCTATGAGGCCATGCTTAGCCTCGTACAGTAGCAATTGGGCAGTGGTCAGCCTCCCGGAACAGTCGCCGTCGCCGCTGATGAGGTTTTGGGTGTTTTGAAGAACAATAACCCCAACAACAGGGAGGAGATCGAGAAATTGTTGAACCCTATGTCGAATCATGATTTCGATTAGATGGTTTCCTTTGGGAACCTAATCACTGATTTCCAAGAAGAAGAAGACAATGTTATGATTGATGATAATGTGGGTTTTACTGTTGTGTTTGACGAGGAAGAAGAACAGGAGGAAGAGAATGGGTTTTACTGTTGTGTTTAACGAGGAAGAAGAACAGAATGGTTTTGATGATGATGATCTTAAAGTTGAGACCAAGCTTTTGGGTCATCTCCAATTCGATAATTTTAGCCTTGTTAAGTGTTTGTTGCAGAACCGATTGAAGATTGTGTGGTGTACTCGTCTAGCCAGGGCCGAGGATCAGGAGACGAGAGAGAAGATTGAGGAAGAAATGTTGGAATCTGGACTGGAATTGGATGCAATTCTTGAGAAATTGCAAGCCGATTGAGAGAGAGAACACAGAGAGAGGGAGAGTAGGAGACAGAGGAGATCAGGGCCTTCTTTTAATTTTTTTTTTCCAGGTACAAAACGACGTCGTTTTTACTTTGGCGACCAAATTTTTTTTGTCGCCAAAAAATTTCATTTCCTCCCTCCCCGTTTGAAATTTCCCTCCCAAACACTTTTGGCGACCAAAACACCATATTAGTCGCAAAAAAGCTACCTTCGGCAACAAATTTTTTTAGTCGCTAAATCTCAATCAACGGCGACTAAAATATTAGTCGCTAAAAGTACAAATTTGGCGACTAAATTTTTTTGGTCGCCAAAATGTAACCTTCCGCGACCAAATTTGAAGTTGGTCGCCAAAAGCATACCAATTTCTGCGACTAACTCATTTTTGGTCGCCAAAATGTGACCTTCTGCGACTAACTCATTTTGGTCGCCAAAAATATTGATCATTCGCGACTAATTAATATTTTGGTCGGCAAATGTCATTTTTTTGCGACCAAAAATTTTTTGGTCGGCAAAAGTGGTCGCCAAATGTGTAAATTCTTGTAGTGAAATCGTAATCATGTTAAATTATTACATTTATTTGCCACAAAAAAAAATGTGACTAATATTATTTGAAAATTAAATCATCCATTGTTAAGAGACAAATGCAATAAACTAATGTGACTATGGTTATTTGATTGACCTAATTTTATTTTTTAGTGATTTACACATTGTCATCTAAAAAAAAGAATGATTCGGATTGTTAATATGAGATTCGTGATGAGCCCACAGCAAAAGTGGTCGCAAAATGTGTAAATTCTTGTAGTGAAATCGTAATCATGTTAAATTATTACATTTATTTGCCACAAAAAAAAATGTGACAAATATTATTTGAAAATTAAATCATCCATTGTTAAGAGACAAATGCAATAAACTAATGTGACTATGGTTATTTGATTGACCTAATTTTATTTTTTAGTGATTTACACATTGTCATCTAAAAAAAAGAATGATTCGGATTGTTAATATGAGATTCGTGATGAGCCCACAAACTCAAACACTTTCCAATCCCTAGTGGACTAGAGAGAAATTACTCCCCATAATTTAATGTGAATACACATGAGGTAAATTGAATTTAATAAAAAATATTATTTTTATTTCAATTTTATGAACATGTCGTATATAAATTTTGGGTGCGTTTGATTTAGTTTTAATATTCAACATATTTCTTTTTTTTTTTTTTTTTTTTAGTTGCTTTTTGTGCATCTTCGTCATTCTAGTAGTCTCAAACCCAGTTTAGGACTATCATTTGTGTGTTTAGTTGCATATTAAATTCATGTTTATTTAGTGTAATGCATGAAAGGTGCTTGAGTAGGCATCTGAATCTCCTTTATTCTTCATAGCATGTACTTGTTCTTGTTCTATGCATTATCTTTTAGATAAATCAAGTTAAATGACTTTCTATGTGAAATTGTATGTTTTGGATGATTTTTATGAATGTTATTTATTAGGAAAACTTACGTGTAGGTCTTAATAAGTTGATTTATTGTTCAATAGGTCTTGTAAAAATTAATGACATTTTTCATCAAAACTATTAAAAAAATGTCATTAATTATTAATTTTCAGCAATAGTTTGAAAATTTTGTCACAAAAAAAATGTCATTAATTATTAATTTTCAGCAATAGTTTGAAAATTTTGTCACAAAAATGTCACTAATTATAAGTTTTAGCGACGGTTTAAAAAAATCGTCACAAAAAATGTCACTAATTTTTTATTTTTAGTGATAGTTTAAAAAATTCGTCCCAAAAAAAGTCGCTAATTGTAAGTTTTAGCGATAATTTATAAAAATCGTGACAAAAAAAATTCACTAATTGTCAATTTTTAACGACATATATAAAAAATCGTCACAAAAAATTATTTTTAGGGATGATTTTACTAGGAATTATTTTCAATAGGATTTTACAGGAATTAAGTAATCCGCTTTTATTTTAAAATCATTGTTTTATAGAAAAATATGAATTTATTCTTTTAATCTAAAATAAATGGTATTTATTTTGTTCTAATCACATTTAGAGTAGTAATGATTTTAGACTCAAAATGGACTTGCTTGAAACAATTAATCACTAAAATCATAAAATAGAATATTAATAAAGGTCAATCTCTAGATTGGACAACAAGAGGTGCATCATTCCATGACCTTCTTTCTTTTGTACCTTAGCTCCCGAACAGGTAATCTCTCATAATGCCCACTTTATAAGACAATTTGTCATTAAATACTTAATGGTTTTGGTTCATTCTTTTTGTGGTGTAAATTTCTCACTACAGAGATTCTAGATCCATATAGACCCACTTCAACTGGTGATTGAGTCCCACTTTAATGTTGCATTAAAGTAGCTGAAAATCTATTATTTTCCAATAGAATTCTAGATCCACATGTTAATAGTGATGGGTGACTAGAGTTGGGTTGGCTAGATATGACTTACAAACAAACCCTCAGGAACTCACTGGTGGTTGTCCTTCTTAAGGGCCCTCCGATGATCAATTTAATATACTTGAATGGAGAGAGTAATGAAGGAATGTAGAAGAAGATAGATTATATACCTTAAGCATATATTTTGGTTATATGTATATTCTCACTTGTCAAAAGAGGAATATGCTAGCGGTGTGCTCTATTTCTCTTAGGGGGTTCCACGTGGCTTGTCAATCTTGGAACATGTAGTGGTACACTTGCAAGATTAGATGCCATAGGGGGACAAGCAAAAGACAAGACTTGCTGTAACAACCCTCGTCACTGTTTACCGAATAACCACTGATTACCGTTAAACTGAAACTGATTATGAATGATAAGTGAACTGAATAAACTACAGAACTAATTGACTGAAATTGAAACTGAATTGACTGAGTATACCTATTTAATTGTAATTCTATCTGTTTGGTTATTTGATTATCTGTTCGTGTTTTTATGGTTAAATTGCGAATTGAAGGCCTTATCGGCGGCCGAACCGGAAACCGATTAGTGTTTTATGATCATCGTGATTTATGTGATTTTATGGTGTAATTACCTGAAAACTGATTAGGTATGATTAAATTAGATTAAAATGAGTTAAATTGCATTGTTACACTTATTTACCATTTTGCCACACTTAATGGCCACTACCTTACACATTTTGAGACTTGTATACACATTGAATCAACATTTCCATCAGCCTTTCCTTGTCTCAACCAACCAAGAGAGTGAGAGGGAGAGAATTGATTTGTTCTTGAGAGAATTGCTTGGAAATTAGGAAGATTAAGGAGTTCTTGCAACATTGAGCCTCCATACCTCTAATTCAAGACTTAGGTAAGGAAATTCAACCTTTTATTGTTGCATTTATGAATGTTCATCCATGGTTCTTGTGTTCTTAGTGACCTAAGCCTAGAACTAGCTCAAGTTGTCGAATTAAGAGCTCATTCCTTGCATGCATGCCTATATTGTTGAATTTTGAGTTGATTCCATGGAGAATTGTCACATGCATGCTCATAGTTATGTTAAGTCCATGTTTTCATCTTGTTTACGGGAGTGAATGTCAAAGCCCAGAGACGACCCATTTTTGACAAGGCCGAAGACTCAGACAAACATACAAGACAAATAAGGTATGCGGGCTGCTGAAAAGC